TTTTTTTTTTTTTTTTTTTTTTTTCCCCTCTCGTCTCCACCCCTGGGGCCTTCAATCTCTGCACAGGGAGACATTTGTTCTGGGCGTGCTCAGGAAAACGCTTGCAACCAGGGAAGTGTAGAAAGAACCTTTACTTAAGGGAGATCCTAGGCGTTGACGTGCATTTTTAAAAACTGTCTCACTCTCTCTTTCTTTTTAAAGGCACCAGCGATCCCTATGTGAAATTTAAGCTGAATGGGAAGACGCTGTACAAAAGTAAAGTCGTATATAAGAACTTGAATCCAGTGTGGGACGAGGTAGTTGCACTTCCCATTCAGAGCCTTGATCAAAAGCTCCGTGTGAAGGTAATCCCAGATGGCTTTCAAGTCTGCTCTTTTATTAAAAACGCTGATGTCTCAGCAATCCTTGCCCCCTTAAAAAGTCCACGTCCCCAAATTCTTTTATCATTGTTCGGCTCTGGGCGGAAAAACATTCGTGTGCAAGGGATTATTTGTACACTTCGTTGAAAGTGTGTGTTTTGTTTTCTCGGATCAATGGTGTATACGCCACAGAAAATCAGAGTGAAAATAACATCCCCATTGATTGTATTTAAGCTTACCGCACGTGGAAGAATTATGACTGTCTGTGCAGTGGCGAAAAGTAGGAAAGCCGTTCTCATCAGGAATAACTTTATACTTAATAGAGCTTTCCGCTACCGGTTGGAAGCACCAATTGCTCAAACATCTGGGTTACAACTGCATGACTTGAGTGCAGGATAGGGTTGCTAGAGAATATTTAGCAAATTTCTATTTAATTGGCAGATCTGCTCACCGTGGAAAATACTAAATTTTAATGAGAGACCATTTAAACTACAGAGAGTGGTCCATTGTGCATAACAGTGGAATGCATATGAGTACTGCCTTAAGAGTATTTTGTGCTATTGTTTTCGCTGTGGTGGGCAAAGTGGTCAAGTTTGAATAATTTCGATCTCTCCATCAACTTGGCTACATTCCTCGTTAACGGTACTCTGCAGATTAGTTTTTAGATCTAGAAGATTGAATTCAAAATTCCCAGACTATTGCATTTATTGATAATTCGGCAAACTCAGTTGGTTTGCCATATTAATGTGCATTACTGGCCTCTTCCCTCTTTGTAGGTATATGATCGGGATTTAACCACATCTGATTTCATGGGTTCGGCCTTTGTCATTCTCAGAGATCTTGAGCTTAACAGGTATTGTATTTTTACCTTCTAATTGTTCTTATGAATTGTAGAGGGAGCTCAACATAAGGTTAAATGGCATCTGTTTAGATCAAATGACAAAAAAAATCTGAATAAATGAAAGGGTGCTTTAAAATGTGAATTTTTCTATTTTAGCTTTTAGCTCCCAAACCTAGGAGTCAGACGTTAAATCATCCACAGTGTGTTCTGGAATGTGTGTTGGAGTTTGAACTGTTAACATTCAGGTTCATTAACCTGCCTAACTTAAAAATAAAACAAGTATTTAAATTTTATTTGGGCAGTAAGGGGAAAGAAGCCATTAACCAACTGTTGAACAAGGCAATGCCAAACAATTCCCCTGCTCTGAAGATGGCTGTGTTATTTTTACTGAATCGGGTGCTTTGTAAAACTCGTGTCTCACCCTTAGGCAGAGGTAGGAGAGGTTTGCCATAAGCTCCTGATGCAGTTTGAAACTATCTGGTACTGCCCCTAAGTGCTAAAAGTGTCATTTGTTGCCTTTTGCTTGTAGGACGACTGAACATATTTTAAAATTGGAAGACCCCAACAGTTTAGAAGAAGACATGGGGGTCATTGTGTTAAATTTGAACCTAGGAGTAAAACAGTGCGATTTCAAGAGACATGTGAGTGTAACCCTTTTGTTCATTTCAAAATTCTTCACCGCAATTGTCCTTTGATAACTGGGTTACCAGATGGCTGGCATTTTTTTTGGCGGGGGTAATTATTTTGGGGGGGGGAAACGAATCATTGTATTGAGATGTAAAGTACCTATTTGTGGTTATGCACATCCTTTCCATTGGAACCCTGGAAAGAAAATCCTTTAAGGAATAATCTGTTTTGGCTAGGGATGTGGATAGTGTGGCTGTTATTAAAATGCATATCCTGCTTATGGTTCCCTTGTAACAGATCATCCAAAATATTTTTACTAAGTGGTAAGGTTTCCATTTACTATTTTCTTAGGTACCGGATGGCACAGGTATTTTTCAGCAATGCAAAGCAGTTCCCGGGATTTAATTATTACATTGTACGTTATTAGGGTGATCAAGTACATATTTGCAGCATTGCAATTTCTTCTGGTGCTTTTTTTGTTTGTTTGTTTGTTTTTAGCTGCACGTTTTCTGTTGGGAGTAGTTTCGGGAAGATATAAATTTTAATATCCTTCGATCTGTTATTTTCTGTACGTTTCTAGTTAATGCATCGCTTATTGAAGACCTCTCTAACACCAACAAAGCATTGGATTTTATGACGACATGACTGGGGCTCTGTTCTTATGAGCAAATAATGTGAATACAAATCATAATCTTATTTTATATTTGGGGATCAGACCTTATAATTCCAAGAATTAAAAGAAGAACAAAAAGCATCTTTGATCGTGACTTATTTGAAAGGCGTTTTTTAAAGCCAACTAAAACACCTGCTTGGAAAAGGACTGAAATGCGTTCAAACTGAAGCCTGTTTAGAATCTGATATGGAAATCTGAAGCCTGTTTATAAATTAGGCTTCTACAAGTGCTTCTTGAATTGAGTCAGTAGGGTCGATGTCTTCATTTTGACACCGCCTTTGCTTGTAGATGGAATTTATTTTCATGGTGAAAATCACGACTGATTTGCAAGGACACTCACAGAAGAGAGCACAAAGCAGTCGTGAAGCTGAACAGTGATTTTTCAGTTGCCAGAGAGCCCACAAAATAGTTGCTGTTTTTAATTTGGATTCTTAGGAGAGTTTACTCGACAGTAACTGGGGAAAAAAAAACTTCCCATATATTATTATTTTTTAAAAGAAATGGTACTTTTAAAACTCGAATCTTAAATTGATGTTGAAAATAAACTTTTTTTTTTCAACTCAACATAATACAGCTTCTCTTAGCCTAGACAGTATTGCTGCTGGATTCATTGTCATGTGCTAGTAGGTGACTGGTTCCTTGAGCTGGATGCCCTCAAAAAGAACATACGATATAAGTAAGCATCATCTGCCACAGGAGTGAGCTATTTCTGGCTGCTATGTTCTGAAACTTCTCTTACATATTTAAGTGGGGTCGGCAAAGTTGGATAACTTCTCATGAAAATAGCTGCCGATTCCCCTATTCCTTCTGTGAAATTTTCCTGTGGTATATCGTATTATGTTTAGCAGTCCTACCGGCCCTTAAAATATATTTGAATATGGCCCAAATTTGCAGTTTTAAAGTAATGCCGTTTCAGTTGAAATTAATTTCCAGTGACGGAGCTATTCATCCTCGATGCTGCCTGAAGTTTCTTTTGTAAAACCTCTCAAAGGGTATGTTTTCAGAGTCGTAAATGTAGCCACACTCGTCATCTTACTGAGTTTGGTCCTTTTTTCCTTAGACCCACCACGTCCTGTCTTCAAGAGTTTGTCAGCCTGCCTGCTCATGTGCTTTCTCATTTTCTTTATTCTTTGCTTATCTGGCAGAGGTGTAGGGTAAAATATATTTCTTGTCTGTATATTTTATGGGATATTATAATATAGAAAGCCCTGCCCACTCCCATTTGTTCTGATCAGTAGTTTCATTTTTTCTGTTTGTGTACTTGATCAAAATACACCCAAGAAAGGAATAATCCTTCCTGGGCCCTGTGTGGTTACTCGGCTTATGCAGTTTATATCGGGGGGGGGGCCCTTTGGATAGAATAGGTATCAGAAAATGTTCGTTCTTTTCATTCAGTGAAAACCCATTTTTATATTGGGTTTTTATTATTTAAAAAAATTTTTTTACATTTATTTATTTTTGATAGAGACAGAGCACAAGTGGGGGAGGGGCAGAGAGAGAAGGCGACGCGGAATCCAAAAAGCAGGCTCCAGGCTCTGAGCTGTCAGCACAGAGCCTGACGGGGGCCCGAACCCACAAACTGTGAGATCGTGACCCAAGCTGAAGTCGGACGGCCAACCGACTGAGCCATCCAGGCACCCCTATATTGTGTTTTTAAATGGGAATAACTAACACTGAAGCCTGGAAAGACAATAGATCATTTGATTGGGAATCAGTTTGTTTGTAAATTTCCATCACGACTGTCTTTGTCACTTTGGATCCCAGGCTGACAACAATCTGAACTTGAGCAAAGTGACTATAGACTGACCCTCACGTCCAGAGATTTAAGGATTGTATGTAGGCATGGTACAGTTGGAAGGCTGATGAACCTGCTGTCTGCTTCTTTTTCTTGGCAAAAATAGGATTCTAGTTCGAATTGTGGGCTCAGTCAGCAGACTTGCCTGGGTTTGAATCCCAGCTCCGCTCCTTTCTAGCTTCGAGAAATTAAGCGATCAGGTCACATTCGCAGAATTACTTAACCTCGCAGCTACAATTCCCTCATGTGTGAAATGAGGATAAAAAAAGTATCTCACAGGACTGTGAAGTTGGAGATTATCAAATGTAGTGCTTGGCATGGGGTCAATTGTCAATACTTGGTAGTTCTTCGGACTGTAGTAAGCAGACAGGCATATTCACTTTCCATTAATTTCCTCATCTCTTTTGTTGATCTTTTATGATCATTAACGCATCCAATGAATTCTAGGTCAGAGGGTCCTAAATAGCCATGCATACCTAGAAGACAGGAATTGATTTTGGTGCTTGTTTTGGTGCTTTGATTTTGTACTGATCATGTTTTTCAGTACAGTGCTGGGAAAATAGTAAAAGAACTGAGTTTAATACCCATATGGCAGCATCTGTGACCCTGCATCATGAGCTAGATGTTGAACTGCCAGTTTCACTAGGGGAAGTGTTTTTTTAATAAAGAATATTTTCAAGTTGTTTCTGGACCCCTGTTTCTGGTTGCTGGTCACCAGAATGTAAGAGGATTTCCCCCCAAAGACCATTTATTTTCTGGTTTCTAACTTATGGGGAAGATGTATTGTCAAAGTGGATAGGTCATTCACCTAAAGGTATTTTTTTCCTCAAGCATAATAGCAAACGTGGTCTGCTCGATTAGATTCATAATTGTATTGTAATCTCCCAAATTTATCCAAGTTTTAACATCCAGTTAGCTGGTTAACCAGCCAGAGTAGAGCCTCACAGTACTGGACGGTGACGGGGGTAATGAGAGGATTTTGCTAGGAAAGAATTTTAATTGTAGATGAAATTCAGCAACCTTAGCATGACAAATGAGAGATCAAAAGAGAACAGTGGTGATGTTACTTGCTGTTCAGAAAATTTGTTCTTCCCTCCCTCGGTGCTGTATTAGCCTGTTTTTGCTTTTTTTTTTAATTGTGCAGCAGCAGTGGCTTAGATTTTTTTTCCTATTATTTTGAATATTGAGGCTTGATCAGGGGGGATAAATGGAATGATTGTTTTTAATATCAAAAAGTATGGAAACCTAAATATTCATGAACACTGTCCATGAACTTCTTAAACATTTTCGTAATACTATGAGAATATTTCAAGTAGGGGAGATCTGCCTTTCCAATTTGCGTTTAGAGGTGAAATTACAGAGTTTTGAGGCAATTAAAAACATTCTAAGGATGGAGATCCTTCTCATACTATGAACTGATACTTCTAAAGATTGAGCAGTATTTGTACGTCCTTGTCTTTTCATTACTGAACACTGTGGGAAAATCCTGTAACACGACCACAGAAATGTGAGTTTTCTGTTTCTGTTTTGTTGCTCCAACGTGTTTTCTCTGTGACCTCGGAACGTGGGTGTTAGTTGTTTGAATATAGTCCGCGCCATCTAACTAATCACAGAATCGTCATTAACGATTCTATTTCTCTCTTTCATTTTGCCATTTTTTCACCATCCAATGGACTCAATCCCTAGCGTTGGTCAAACCGGAAGCGGCTGAGTGCCAGCAAGGTAAATATAGTTGTTTTCTTTTTTATGTCATTTGGCGAAACGTTCATCTTTGTTGCAAGCACAAAGGTATACGTGATTGGTATTAACCAACTTTTACGTACAACAGCATTCTCTTCCTCTCACTGTGGCTATGAATAAGAAGGAAACAACCTCCCTTTTACGTTTCGTGTAATAAGAGCATAGCCAGATGTTTGAACTTATATACTTGGTTTAGTGGTGACATTTTATAGGTGCCAGCCACGTTAGAACGTTCCACTTCATTAAGCCTGGATTATTTGGAGTGTAGCACAGTTAGGGTTAGTCCTTTAGGAAGTTATATACCATCAGATGGAAACTAGCTTTGGTGTTGTAGGGGCAATGAAAAGATTAATTGAGAGGGATAGGTGGTATCTTTTATAAATCTCTTTTATATTACTCTTATTTTACTGTTTATTACCTTTGCTGCTGAGAGTTTCTTGAAAGATTTCTTCATGATGTACTGGCGATTTTTTTTTTTTTT